GTAATGAAGTAGGGAGGCAAGAGACAGTATTCTGATCATACTCAGTTATATCCTATGAAGCCAGGAATAAGCTATGAGATAGCTGCCTGGGTATTAGGGGGCCAGGGTTTACCTTTAGCCAGCACTCAGCTTGGAAATCTGCTTTGAAGATCTAGGACATGAATGATGCCAATAAAGAGGAGAGTGACTCTGAGCATGTTCTCTCAGCGCTTCCATATGAATTGGTAGAAAGCATTAACAAGGCTAGAGTTGCTAGATTTGAATCCAGTAGCACCTTAAGGACCAACAAGATTTTCTGGGTATAAGCTTTCAAGAGTCAAAGCTCCCTTCTTCAGATATCCAACATAGTGAGCTTTGATTCTTGAAAGCTTATGCCCTTGAAGGCTTATACCCCAAAAATCTTGTTGGTCTCTAATGTGCTACTGGACTTTAATCTGGCTTTTCTACCATAGACCAACACAGATACCCTTTGAAACTGTCTTCCTAGAAGGCTATAGTTGTTATTTGCGTGACAGATCAGTCCTTGCTGATGAAGGATTTTCATGGCAGCTGGACAAAGAAGTCCTTGGGATTGGCAGAAGTGATTTTCCCTCAGCATAGCAGAATTTCCTACTGCAGCCCAAAATGCCTTCCAGAATGCTGCTTCTGGAGGAAAGGGAGATCCTCTGTGAACAGAAGCATTTGCTGCAGGAACTCTCCTTCTGTGGGGGGAAAATTTTGTTGAATCCAACACTGGAGTTGTTTGGTAGCTCTTAGGACAAACTATGACACCTGCACCTGACAAAGAGTTGCTGCTGAAAACAGTAATCCCATGTCATACTCTTTCATCTCTCCCCATAACATTTGAGCAGAGTTAGCCATATATTGGAAAGGTCAGGTAAGGCCTTTCACTGCCTTTGCTCCACATCATTGGCAGACACAGGTTTGGGTGAGAAAGGGAGGGAAACAATACAGGCAACTCCACCTAAACCGTATAGCATTTTTAGAGGCAGCTCCATACCCGATGTCACATCTACTTCTTCCTTAAATTGTTCAGGTTGATAAAACTCTGTAAAGAGTCCCAAAGGATAACTAGACAATAAAATAGATTGACTCTTATGTTATATCAAATTGAGACAGCAATATTAACTTCACATATACCTATATATGAAGTTAAGATAGTTGTCCCAACAACAATCTTTTAAGTTGTTATAAGTTATTGTTATAACTACTTAGAGTCACAATGGGAAACCTCACTGGAAACTGATTGGTGTATATTAAATAAAAATTAATAGTAAACATTTTTGAAAACTCGTTCTTTAAATATTTTATCTAAAACTTCATCACCAATATTTAACATACTTTAATATACTTTTTCAGTAAATGATATACTGAATATTGAGTCTGCTATACATCCTGTGATTAATAAATGTCTGCACAATAGAATTTAAATGTACATTAATCTCCTTTGTCATAACTTTTCCTTCTGAAATTTTGCTGTGATTTTTATGTGTTTACGAAAACTGAGTACAGAATTTGTGTTAAAGAAGTGTTTCAACTGTCTTGTTTTAGCTGTTTTTCAGACATAAAACCATAGAGCTTTAGTGGTGCTTAGAGAGGACTGGCATAACTTCTGAGTTTTCCTGGAAGTTATGTCACACCGACACCAACAGCCACCCTCTATTTCCCTGCCCCCCCCCCCAGTTGCTTTCTCTGTTCCCCTGGAGGAAATGGCAACTTCAGAGGATAGACTCTGTAGAATCACTTACCCACTGAACTTCTCCCACTCCCCAGATTCCACTCTCCCCAGGCTCCGCCCCTAAATCCAGCAATTTCCCGATCTGGAGTTGGCAGTGGCAGCCTTAACCTTCATGCTTAGCAAATGCCTCTCCTCAGTAAAGGCCCAGTGATTGAAGGGGGGAGGTCAAGAAGCAGGCCACAATCCAGTAAGAACCTTATGGGAGGAACCAGTGTCTGTGCCTCTGTGCTTTAGTTTATTTAGTAGACTCTTAATACCTAAATTTGCCTCTTTGTGTGTGTGTGCGCATATATGTGAGGAATCCATGTTTTTATGGAACTGTAAACCCTTTTCATTTAAAAATTAGTTAGGATAAATCAAGGGCTACCCAAGCAGAGGAAGCAATATAGTCTTAGGCTTATAGGCCCAGCTGGGCTAAAAAATTCTAATTATTTATTTTCAACTTATTTGCTTTGGGATATGTAATAAAAACTTATTTCACTGAAAGTTTACAGGTTGTTTTTTTGTTTTTGTTTTTGAGTTTTGCATGTTTGGTGTTACTGAAGGCCAGATAAAAGTTCATATGTAAGTTGGTACATACAATAATGCTATTTCTGGGATTTAGAAGTAATTCATTAGACTGTTTTCTGTTACTAACCAAGAGCTTTTATAGTCTTCTGGTTTGAAAATGTGCAAAGGCCCAAATGATTAGCTGGCTTCAACGCTTTATGTGAGTGTTGTTAACAACATATGTGTAAAGATCGTGGGAAAGACTCAGCAGTGCTACGAGGGATGAAACTGTATTTGAAGAAAAAAAAAACATTTTGGTGGCTGTTTATGCCAGATTTTGCAATCCAGTGCTGCTTGAAAGAAATTTCCTTAACTATGCAGCTGTGTTCATGCCTGCTCATTGCAGCTGCAGTTTTGTTGTTACATCTGAATACAGCCTTCATCTGGCCATCCTTAATTTTCAGAATAATTTGAGGCAGCTAGAGTGCCCTCAACTCAGAAGGTTTTCACTTCCTGTGATGTTTCCATTAGTAAATGTCTCTGATCATCAAGCCAGCAGTTTAATGTTAAGTAGGGAAACTTAGATTCTGGTTTGCTCATTAGATGGAGCGAATCGCTGTGTTCGGTTTTTAAAAAATCTGCAGTTTTCTGGCAGTGATGGAAAGACCCAGCAAACCGAATGTGTGTTACCCATGTGGAAATAACTATTATTTAATGTGTGTTTGTTCTTGTCCTAAGCAAGCAATACTACAATAATGGCAGAGTGTTGATTTCTGGTGAAAAGGGTTTTTTGTTTCGTCCATGAAACTCTGAATCCTTTGCACCCTTGGAGATACCTCTGTGCCAGTTCATGACTATGCAGCAAGAAGAAAATATTAACCAGTTTGCCTTTAGAAAGAGTATTGATTAGTCTACTTTATGGTTTCAAAAAGAGTCTGAGGCAAGAGGAGAAATTATACCAGGCCTCTTATTTGTGGGGTATATATCAAGAGGTCCAGCTAATGGATACTCCTGTCAATGCTTACTACAGGGTGTTTTCCCACATGGAGACAGGCTTGTGTGGCTTCCCCCTGGCTGCTGTGGCTGCCAGCACAATGTAGTGGCAACAGGGCTTCCATATGGCAGGTTTCCTTGGAGTTTCCCTGCCCCAGTCTCTTAACAGTGGCTTTTCTCCCCCGCCACTTGTGCCACCAAGAAGGGTTGCCAGGTCCATTCGTCGCACTGGCAAGGAAATTTGGAAGGAGTTCCAGGGATGGGCGGGGACGTCACACCATGTGCTGACATCACTCGGAAGTGATGTCAGCATGTTGGGGGCGATACTCTGCTTTGGGGGCAAAACTCTATAGTAAAATTGGTCTCGAACCATAGAGTTTTGCTCAAAAAGCAGAGCATCCCCCCTCCAACGTCATCAATGCACTGATGTTACTTCTGGGTGACATCAGCACATCATGCACAGCATTGGGGATTGAGGGAATTTCCTCCCGACAGCCAGCTAGCCAGCAGTCTTGGGATTGGGGAATGGTATCCCTACCATCAAGACTTTCTCATTTTTTAAAACTGGCATTTTTATATTATTATATCATCTTAATGTTATAACAGTCTGTGTATCAGTTTCTCCTGAATCCCCAACTTTCATTTTCTTTAAAGTCTGTAGCCCCTTTAATTACAGGCTATGCTGTTCCTCTTGTATCTTCACTACAAAAAGGTCTAGAGAATTACGTTTTTTAAAATGAAAGTTTGGAATTAGAGTATCTGACCGACAGATTGTAATAACATGGTAATGATACTCAATTGCTGTTTAAAAACAGACAGGAAGTGACCCTGTTGGCAAGAGAATGGCCACCATGGGGACAAGGAAAATGGTTGCCTTGTGGGCAAGATTAGGATAATCTGAACTTTTCTACCCATTAAGCCGCCATCCAGGATTTGCTGCAATTTTTCCCAAAACATCATACCAAAGTAGGTTTGAGAAAGATCAGAGAAAAGCTGAGGGAACCTTGGGAGGTGTACAAATGCACCACAGTGCTGTGGGGAATGGAGGGGGGCTGCTTCTCAACAGCATGAAACCCAGGGCAAAAACCCTGTATGACCCAGGACCAGGTGTTCATTCTGTTCCGTGATATTTCAACTGAACAATTAAGAATTTGCCCTCAGTAAGAAAAATGTATGTGGTTTCCTCCCTTTCATTAAAGCCCAGCAGCGAGCTAGATAATTTGGAAGAAATTCTGGATGATCTGCAAAATAGCCAGTTGTCGCAGCTTTTCCCGGACACCCGACCAGGTGCTTCAGAAAACAGCAGGATCGGTTGACAAACAAGCCATCATCAATGACCTCATGCAGATCACAGGTGAAAACAGCCCTGGCACTCCTGTTGGAGCCCAGAAACCATCAATGAGGATCTCGCAGAGCAGTAAGTCTGAGCTATTGCCGGGTCACAAAAGCATGTAAAATTATTATGATAAGAATAAAAACTGTAGCTTTTGCAAGGCTGACAAGCAGTTTCATAATTTCTACTAACAGAATAGCACCATCTGCTGTTCTAATCCACTAGAGCACTATTCTGAACTCTTACGTGGGCAATGTGCTTTACCATTGCTTTACCAAGATTACCATATTTAATGTCACTGCAAATTTAAAATATGTACTTTTAGCTGACAGTTTTACTTTGACTCACTCAATAACACATGACTGCCACATATTTGTTTACATAATTCATTGCACAGTATTGGATTGTACTTAAGGAGAAGTGGGCCCTGACCTCGTCAGATCTTTGAAGCTAAGCAGGGTTGGCCCTGGCTAGTATTTGGATGGGAGACCTCCAAGGAATACTGGGGTTGTGACACAGGCAAGCAAGGGCAAACCACCTCTTGCCTTGGAAATTCTACAGGATCGCCATAAGTCAACTGTGACTTGACAGCACTTTCCACCACCAAGGAGAAGTGGATACTTTACCATAAAATGGAAACACCTCCAATCCAGAGATCACAAACTTTCTAGCAGCCCATTTGCCTCCGTACAGTTGTGATCACAGTTCTTACAAAATGCTTAGGCTAGTCAACAGAGGCTTTCCAAAACCTGATCTGTTAACTTGGCATGATAGGATCAGGCTTTAAAAGGTGGCCAGTAGTGGATCAATCATCACTTGCAGCATTGATCAAAGTAAATGGAGGAGAAGGCAATAGATATATTATGGACTTCTTTGTGCCTCTGAAACATGATTGATGCTGTGAGGAGGTTCAGTCAGAAGCCTTTAAGAGTGCTGAACTCTTGCTGTACTTGTCCCCTCCACCCCCTTGCACACCTTTCCAAACAGCTAACTATTCCATCTGGCAGTTGACCCAGAGAACTCCTAACATACCTGCCTACCCGGACAATTATACCAGAAATGCTGCCAAGTTGCTAGATAAGATTTTTTCCACTCCATGCATCGGATACAGGATGTCTGTGTATTGAAACCTCTGCCTGTTCATGTTCCCTGTTGCTGACTGGAGCCAAGAGAATGCATATGCTTTGAAACCACTAAAAGTAGGACATGGGAAAATGAGGCCTAAAAATGACAGAGATTGCTTAACTTAAAACCAGTGTTTTCCAGATCTGATAGTTTTAAGTTCAATATCCCATTAAATGACAACAGTAGTAGTGGTGGTGGTGGTGGTGGTGGTGGTGGTAGTAGTAGTAGTAGTAGTAATGTCCTGTTAAGGCAATTTAGTTGCAGTTCTCTGCATTAAAACCAATTTCTGAAAACTGTTACAAAATGTGGTTGGAAAGTCCTTATTTAAAAACCTTCATTTTAAATATTTAATTTTCATGTGATCACAGATACTGCATGCATTGGTTTCCTTTAAATAATGTAGGCCCCGGTCACATGAAAGGTTTTGGCCCGGGAGAGGGACGGATCGGGGGTGCACCAAATGGGCGCGATCCCACCGCAACATCTGGGAAACGTTGCGCACCCGTCCCCGATCCGGCCCTTCCTGCCGAAAACCCGCATCAAAAATACACCACCTCCAGAGGAGGTCTTACCGGAACGGCCGGGGCAAGCGCGGCCGTGGGATTGCCGGCGCATCCTTCTGCCGGCGCATCCCTGGCTCCTGGCTGAACTGCGCATGCTCACACATGCGCAGTTCGGCAGCCTCCCGTCGCTTGGTCCCCGGTCTCCCCGGCATCTGATCGTGCCGGGGAGCGATTGCGCGGCAGCTCACGGGGTCTGCATGATCCCGCTGCCGCGTCTCTATTTTGGTGCGGCTTTCAAAAGCCACACTTTGCCCGTCCTTTTTTCCCCCCGTGTCACAGGGACCGTAGTGTATCAAGCTGGAGCATTCTTTATAAATACCTTCTGTCTGTTACCTTCCACGTTAGAATCCACATATCCAAAAAGAGTGGTGTCTCTTTTTCCAGACATTACATTCTTGTTACTGAGACAGAAATCAAATATTATGGGGCATTCAGCTTAGTAATGTGAGTCCATAGAGGATTTAAGCCCCCCTTCCTTTACTTATTATTTCCTGCAAGTGCCTCCCTACCATTCACATTATATTAACAAACTCAGGTTGGGACCTGCCATGGTGATGTCTCCTCCTGCTCTTTGTAGCAACCATAAGAATTGCCTCATCATATTCAGAAGTTACTGCCTTTCTCACTAGAAAAGGATTTGCAGTCTGCACTTAAAGGATGAGATATTTATATCCATGGATTAATTTTAGCTTTGCCTGTAAAAATAAATAAATGTGTGTGCCACACAAGGAGCAAATACTTCTTTGGGGGAAATTTGCTATTTAAAAATACCTAGCTCTTCTGCCAAACTGAGGGTTCCCACCCCGAACAATTTGTGTGTGTATAGAAGAAATTTATGAAGTATCTTTTTAATGTAACATCCTAGAAGGACTATTAATAAGTACATCAGGTGTTTCATTATGATAGCAGTATGTAACTAGTGGCTCCTGGGACAAATCTGGCCCTCAGCAATATCTCCCTGCCACTCATACCATTCTAGTGGCTAAAAGGATCCTCTTGGCCCCAGGCAAATTCTCATGGGAGCCTTCAGAAGGAAGGGTGAAATTGTCATAAGTACAGGTTGAACCAACCACACCGTGTTCCTTCCAGGAAAGGAATCATGTGAGTTTTTAATGTTCAGCTTCATCTAGTTATGAAATATTGGTAATGGTTAACAAATTTTGTAAAGAGAAGAAATCAGCTAAGCCCTTTGGTTGAAAATTCTCTGACGTTCCTTAATAGTGATTTCCCATGCTAGGACCATTATTTATTTATTTATTTATTTATACATTTAGATTTATATATCGCCCTCCCCAAATGAGCTCATTACAGAAAAGTCAGAGAATACAAGGGATCAAATGTCATATGCTTGAATTTTAATTCATGTAAAAATTTTGAATGTTTAAGGTACTTCACATACATTGTCCCAATTATCCTTGCTGCGACTTTTTTTTTTTTTAACGGGGAGCCAGAACAACCGATTACCAGCTACCCCATAATAAAAAAATTAAGCTTCTGAAATCTCTTGAAAGCAATTCCACACAGAAAGAGAGAAAGCCGCAGCCACCCCCCTTATGTCTACTCACAGCAGAAAGACACACACACCCTTTTTTTGCTGCAGCTTTTTAAAACAGGTGAGCATTGTGGATCCACAATGTAGATGAAAGCTGAGGGTAAAATAAAAGTGCATATGGCTACTAGTATGGCCAATAAAAGTTTGAACTGGGATCTTGGTTCACATCTCCTTCTCTTAACAACTGTGCTTAATTAGAGTATATTCCTGGAAGTTACAGTTTCAGGTACTATTCAGATATGACCACTCAGAATCATTTTTTGTTTTCTATTTTCTTCTCTGCTTAGCTTTTACTAACTCACGATCAGCACAGTTGGGAAGGATGTTACCAAACCAGAATTTACCACTTGACATCACTTTGCAAAGCTCATCAGGTGCTGGATCTTTCCCACCCATAAGAAACAACAGTCCATATTCAGTGATACCTCAGCCCGGAATGATGGGCAATCAAGGAATGATGGGAAATCAAGGAAATCTAGGGAACAGTAGCCCAGGTAAGGACTACTGTCTTTTGTGAGGTTCTTCATAACGTGCCCAGTAATTTCATGGATGGATCTTGGTTTCTGAACAGTTACAGCCAGAAAGATAAAATTATAAGATGAGGGATGGAATTCAGCAGCAGTAAATTGGCATCAGAGATACCAGATCGGGTATCAGTGCTTCAGGCACCTAGAGCCTAATTCTGTGTTCATTTACTTGAAAGAAAGTTCCCCTGAGTTTAGAGGGGTTACTACTATGTAACTGCGCATAGAATTGCCATAGGCTGTGATCCTAAAGACATGTTTTTGAACCTGTCCCATTGTAATCATTGGGCTTTATTCTGAGTAGTTCCATCATGCTGATAATTCTTTCCAAAAGATTTTAAAAATATTCTGAAATGTAATGGATACTTAAAAGTCTCAGGAATATAGTTATCTGCCATTATATTTATGATTAAGAGAACATCAGTTTCCTGGATTGTTGCTAGGAGAGCATTTCCAGGCGAACGTGTACATTTCACATAATTTATCTTAACTGTTAGAAAGTATGTCATTACAGTAATCTAAATGAAACTAGGTCTTAATCTCTCAGTGTGCAGTTTTCCGGGTGCAGAATTCATCACATGTAAATGGCACGTCATAATACAATAACTTATCATCCATCCTTTCACCAAAAATGTGCTAAAAGAAATAACTCTTGGTTTCTTTCTATTTTGTCCTTTGCAGAACTGTCAAAACTGAATCTAGAGCTCTTTTCAAGCACAAGTTAACTTTTTTGTGTGTCTGTTTTTAATAGGGATGATGAGCAGTAATACCCCTCGGCCCAACTTGCCATCAGGCGACTGGGGAACCCAAGGTGCTGCTGTCAGGGTAACTTGTGCTACCACAACAAGTGCCATGAACAGGCCAGTCCAAGGAGGCATGATACGTAACCCAACGTCCAGCCTTCCTGTGAGACCCAGTAGTCTCCCTGGCCCAAGGCAAATGCTTCAATCTCAAGTTATGAATATTGGTAAGCCTTAGTCCAGTTATTGAGATGTTCTCCTTTTCATGGAATTTATATCATCAGCTATAACAACAGAATGGTTGGCGATAGTCTGGTGTTCCCTCCCACCCCTTTTCCAGTTATGCACATCTGTGACAGCTGAGAAAAGAGTACTAGTTAGCAAATGAGTTATTGTGCATGAGGCAAGTTACACAGTGTAGTTGCCTGTCACAGTGTTGGCAGAGGAGCAGACGGAAGAAAGAATTTATGTTTCCCTTTTCACACCCTGAATAGGTAAATAAAAGAGGTCAGCTTGCCTTCCTAACATAGGTAGGAAGGGGTGTCCAGAATAGCCCATTGAACAGTCCCTTAACTGTTCTTTCTATCTCTGTCTTTCTCTCCCTGTCTCCTCACTTCCTCAGCAATGCCTGGATTTCCCTCTTGTTAAATACAACTGTCTCATACTCAGCCAGTATTTCAGGACAGCAAGACACAACTACAAAGGGATTTCCACCCCTGTCATTGGCTGGGGTTGCTGTGGGGGGGGGAGAACTTCAATAAATCTGTTACTCTTTAAAGTGCCACAAGACTCTTTTTTTGTGTTAAAGTGCTTAAGGCAGTCTCCCTCATTTGGACACTAAATACCATGGGGTCAGAGAGGTGTAATTAGTGGTGGCAGTTGGGTAGAAATACCAAGGCAGCTGCCATGACCTCTGATCATGCAAAGAAACAAACATGAACAAGGTAGTCCTCAGGTTGCTAGATTCTGAGAACCACTGAAGGTGATGACAGTTTTAAATAGATGTAAATACAGTCGCTCAGTTCAGTGTGGCAGCAGAACTATTGCATATAGCAGAGCTGGCATTGTTTCAGCAATTTATTCTTATAGCTTTGTAACTTTGCACTGGCAGATAGTGTGGCCCCCAGCTCTACCACCCAATGCAACTGCGCTCAGATTCAGAGCTACAAGTAGGTTAGGCAGTCACATGTTACTTGAACTGGGCTTAAACTGGTCCCAGTGCAGATACAGTGAAGGGATTACTTTAGGATTAACAAGGTTCTGTTGGTCCACCTTCTTCTCCTTGGCACAGGCTCTGTGTCAAAGCATACAGGAACTATGAGGCCTGAGCATGCTGCTCGTGTCGCTATCCAGCAGCCCCCACACCACCACTCAAAAAAAAAAAACCCCAAGGCTCCAAGTTTGCACTATTGGAACAGTTGGGAGGGCTTGATGGGGATGTGGGAGACAGATGAGCACAGGTTTCCCATTTGCTGCCATGGTTTGACATGATGAATGCCCATGTATGCCATAGCAGGAAGGAAGAAATCAGGGTTTTGCTATGCCCTGTAGATAATCCACTGTACACAATGATATATCTGTGGTACAGTTGGATCAGTCCCTGAACTGAATCAATAGTTTTACAGTGCACAAAAAAATTATAGTACTTTTAAAGATTTTCAACCCTGCAAGCACAACTTGGATCAATTTTTTATAGAAACTGCAACTGAGAACAGGCTGGGTGACCTGTTTATCCATGAGGTTGTATTTTAACAATTGTAAGATAGCTGGATGCTTAAGATCAAAGAATTACACATAGCCAGCCTTTCAGTGGCATTGCCTTTTTGAAAACTATTACTGATGTCAGGAAGATTTTATGTGTATCTGGTTTTCTTCTCTTAGGAGCTTCGGAACTTGAAATGAATATGGGAGGTCCTCAATATAGCCAGCAGCAGGCTCCTCCAAATCAAACTGCTCCATGGCCAGATAGTATCTTGCCCATAGATCAGACATCTTTTGGTAATCAGAACCGGTAAGATTTTTTTTTAAAAAAATGTTCACAAGCTAGTATGTGTTTATACATCTTGAGGTAGGAAAGTGTTCTTTAATTTTATGCACTATCTCCAGATCATTCTTCCTACTTACTGCAGCTTCTAGCTCATTTGCTAATTAGTTCAGTGGCTAATCAAGTTGCCTGTCCTTGGCCAGCATGACTGTATAGAAATGGGATTGAGAGTGTAGGCCCTCTCAGACTTGCTTAGAGGGAAGAAATGTGTGCTGTTATTACCTTGGTAGGATGTGCTCTCTTATGTTACCCCTTAAGGTATGCTAACCAAATCTAGGTTTGTTTGCAAATCAAAGTTCAAGTTGGAGCTATCATTGCAATCCAGTTGAAGCTATGTCTAACTTCACCAAATCAATATGAAAACTGCATTAATATTAATTCCTATGTGTATTTTATGTGTATCCACATAAATTTGTGGATAGAATACAGCACTTCATAATTCTTGTAAAATATGTTGAAAAAGCAAATCAGTGTAAAACAGGACTCTAGTACTCGAATGGATTGGTAAATAAAATTTAAAATAACCTCTTCAAAATGAACAGCAGTTAAGCAGTTTGGCAGTTGTGGTGCTGAAGTAATATGCAATCACAATTTTAAGTGAACTGGTCATTGATACAAGTTTTTATTTGATTGCACTTGGTTGCTTTGACACTTGTCTGTAATAATGTCTTATATAGTCTTTATTGCTCGTTTTATGGCTTTACTGTATTTTCTTAGTCATAATAACCATATGGTTAGACACTGCTTGGCATAATTTCATTGGCAGTGGTGCAAACTAAGAAAGTTCATTGCTGAATCACTGAAAATAACTAGTGGCGAATGCATCAGGGAGAAAGGAGCTATAGGTCTAACTCCTGTTGCTGATTGTCCTCATTTTTATTCTTGGTGGACATTTTCTATGTGCCCGGTTGGCAATCTTATTTAACCTAGTTAAGACCAAGGAGGAAGAACAATGCCCAGCTGCTTTTATTGATTTATATCAATAAGGTTTTAGCTTTAATACCTTTACTGACTTTAGTTGTTTGTCTCCTGGCTCAAGGAGAGAAGCAGTTTCTTTACAAGGCTGTCATGCACACAAGGCTCGTACAGTTCGGATCATGCTATAAATTCCTTTCATCATTCTGGGGAGAGATAGGAACATACAGAATTGGTCTCCCCTTGATAAATACTTCACAGTCTAAATACTTATCCCAGCAATATTTAAATATGGTTTATTTTGCATGGTGTGGACTATCTGAGGCTGTCCAAGAGCACTCTATATTATGCAGTACTTAACTTCTGATGCCTTGCTTTCTCTTTTGGAACCAGGACTTCAGAAAGAGGATCATCCCATGAATTGTGCCATAGGTTTATTTTAGGGAAATGACAACATTACATTGTAGCCATTTTAATTTCATCATTGAAATTAAAGAGAGCTGAATTACTCACTGAGTTCTTAATGGCAAGATTGTCAGGGATAAATCCCACAAAATATTATTTTTATAATGTAGTGTGTGTGTGTGTGTGTGTGTGTGCACGTGCGTGCGTGTGTGTGATTACATTATTCATATGCTGCTTTTGCAATTAGGGTATTCTTGGCAGCATAAAATTTAAAACCAAAACACTATTTTAAAACTCAAACAACAGCAAAATAAAATTATATAAACCACATAAAAGTAATACCAGGACAGGAGATTAACTGAAAATCTTGGGTGAACAAGAAGAACTTAATTAGACATGATAGGAAATAATGTTGCTGCTGAAAAGCTTCAGGAGGAGGGTGCAGTTTGCAGTAGTAATGGGGGAGGAAGAGGAGGATCTGAACCTTTCTGATGCACTTTTGGCCTTCTACTTCCTTCATGGGTTCTGGACACATTTGACACGTTATGAAGAAAAACAGCTGTGGGGAGATGGTCACAGGAGAAAATGAAGCAAATAGCTGAATTGTCATCAGCACTGTCTTTATGAACTACCAACTGCCTCATCTTGAAGGAACAGAGCAGAATCTTTTCATCTCTGGACTCTATAGATTAGGGCCAGACTAGATGTTTTGAGGTGTTTGCTGTTCCCAGGTCCGCATCTGCTGCCAGATTTCGAACATCTGCAAAGGGTGGGGCACAATCTACTGAGAGGACTGGCAGACAGGAAGTCTGCTCCTTCCAACTGTTTCATTATTTTATAGTATGATCTGTGAATTACTGTTCATGGGGTTTTCTTGGCAAAGATACTGGAGTGGGTTGCCATTTCCTTCTCAACAAAAGTCCGCATAGTCAAAGCAATGGTATTCTCCGTAGTAATGTATGGCTGTGAGAGCTGGACCGTAAGGAAGGCCGAGTGCCGAAGAATAGCTGCCTTCGAATTATGGTGCTGGAGAAGACTCTTGAGAGTCCCCTGGACTGCGAGGATATTGAATCAGTCAATCCTAAAGGAAATCAAACCTGACTTTTCCCTGGAAGGACAGATACTGAAGCTGAAGCTCAAATACTTTGGCCACCAAATGAGAAGAGAGCACTCACTGGAGAAGACCCTGATGCTGGGAAAGACTGAAGGTAACAGAAGAAGGGGGCGGCAAAGCACGAGATGGTTAGACGGTGGTACTGATGCAATGAACGTGAAATTGAACGAACGGAGGACGACAGAAGACAGGAGGGCCTGGTGTGATGTAGTTCATGGGGTCGCGAAGAGTCAACTGTGCGACTGAACAACAACAACTGTGAATTTGAGCTTGTAGCGATATCCCATTCAGATACAGGCAGTTCAGATGCAACAGCCAAACCCATGGTTCTTCGCCTCAGACTAGCCTACTCCTCTTCTTTTGTCCCCTTGCACTCTCCAGTGTCTTCCTTTCACACCAAATCATTGCTTGTCTTACATCAAAACCAGTAAGCTATGATTTAAACTAGTTAAGGTTTGAGCATGATCTCCAGTTCTTGTTTGTAGGGCAAACGTAAATCATTCTTTGCTGGTTTGAATATAATGGCAAACTGGTTTGCAGTGAAAGGGAGATAACTGAGGCATGGAAGGCAAGGGAAAGGTACATGAGCCCAAGACTTGTTCAGATAACAGCAAGCCTGGGTTAGATATTTTTTGCAACCAAGCCACTGTGTGTGATGCATTAGCACTTGATACGGATCAGGGGTAGGCAACCTATTTTGGGCCCAAGTGCTGATTTTTGCATACCCCTACTGTAGATGTTTCCTTTATCATATATCTGTTAGAATGCTTGTTCATACTGCTCTAATTAACCTAAAAGCCAAATCATTATTCTCTTTGGAGAGGGGCTGCGTGCTGGAATTAGCTCAGCAATTGACTTTTTATTATATGTCAGTCTCCTGGCACCAAGGTGGCTTGGTTTCATAATCTTTTGATGATAAAGCATGTTTGATTTCACAATCTTACAACTGCATGTTGTCGGGAACAGTTAGTGATCTTCTGGTACAGAATGAAAGAAGTGGCAGTCTCAGTGTTCTTGATTTAAACTATCTGATTAGTGTTATCAGTAATCATCCAGCTTGTTATAAAATTAAGTTGTCAGAATAGAATATGTTATTCTGGATAAGAACAATATTTATTGGTGTTAACTTGTACAGTGATTTAGCAGTGCAATTTCCCAGACAGATAGAACTTGGCAGCTAATACCAGAATGGGATAAGGAGATAATGTGAGCTAAGATAAAGAAATAGCTGCCTCCTTGCACTCTCTGTAAAATTGTATTCCATTTGGTAACAGTGGCAAGCTTAGGAAAAAGAGTTTTATGTCCTGATGGGGCTAAAAGTGATAAATATAGAAAGTGTATATTCCCATGTTCTACGCAAAGTCTAAACAAGAAGTTTATTTCAGTTCAAATAAATTTGCCTAGCAGAATCCCAAAACACGTTCCCAGCATTTTGTTTGGGATTGTGGGAGAGATCATCCCAGTACTTGCTTAATGAATTGCATGCTTTCCTTTCCAGGCAACCATTTGGAAGCTCTCCTGATGAACTGCTGTGTCAACATCCTGCATCAGAGTCTCCAAGTGATGAGGGAGCTCTTCTTGATCAGCTTTACATGGCACTGAGAAATTTTGATGGTCTCGAAGAAATTGACAGAGCTCTAGGGATACCAGAACTAGTCAGCCAGGTATCGGTAGTATAAAAACATTTCTGAAAATGTATCATGCTGTTTCAGTTGTAACAAACATTTCTCTGGGGTAAAAAACCTTTTAGCGCTAACTGGATAATAATATTCTGAATATTCTTCCATATATTAACATTGTGAAGGTAACTTTCTTACTAAAGAGATCCTTTGTTTAATTTAAGTGTGTCCTGTATTTAAGCTTACTTCCAATTCCAGAGGGCAGCATTTCTTTTAAGAGAGAGAGCATCCTTGTGCCTGCTCAAGGCTGAGGTCCAGAAGTAAAGGCAGGAGGCTCTGGAGCCCACAGTACTGTACCATGGAGGTTGTTCCAGTAAAGGCCAAGGGTGAACTGAGCTCTTAAATATTACTGCAAGGAGGTAGAAGAAAACAGCCCCTCCTCTGCAGGACCAGGCTTTCAGTATGTAAAGCTGCTGTTCCAGGTTATGGCAGCAAAAGGGCTGAGGTGGTTCAGGGCTTTGAGAGGTTGGTTGAGAAGAGACCTCTGATTCAGCGGCAGGCTCTGGGGTGGAGGGATCAGGGCCCAAGTCCAAATCAGAAGGGAAGGCCTTGGGGCTTCTCCTACTCCTTAAAGGCTGCTCGAGGTGTCCCAACTGCTGCCTCCTGCAATGGTGTTGGGTACCCAGCTCCCCCATCCTCTGAGTCTTTGGCCTGTTCCTCAGACAAGGAGTAGTCTGTATCATGACAACTTGGCTACAAGTTGACAACTGTCTGGACACTGCATATGTTGTTATCACTTCTGTCTTTCTACCCTGAGTGGGAAGGATGAGTGGATTAACCGACAGCTTCAAAACCAGACATCACTTGAGATGGTCGGAGCAGGGCTGTCCTGCCTCATCTCTCTCCCATGCCAGGAGAAATTGGGAAATAATCCAGCTCATGAGCAATTCAGTGTGGCTTCCAAAAAATTCCACTGTTGAGAAACTGCCTGGTTGTCGTCCGTCATAATAGAAGGTAGTTAATCTTATTGGCACAGCCGAAGATGTTAGGTTAAGATCCATCTCAGTAAATGGACACACACAAGGCTTCAGACTAGGCAAACAGGCAATATACAGACTGCATTAGCTGCATCTGGAAGAGACGTAACCGTACATGTTTTATACCACTCTTGGCCATACATTTCCTATCTCAGAGTTCATCTTTTTTGACCTTCATACAGTCCCACATTGGGAATTGTGCAGACCTGCCAAACAAACTCAGCTTTCTGTCATGCACAAGACACCTAGACTTCCTTCCAAACAAACCATTTTACCTTTCAACAAAAAGAGAGAAGAGATTATATTTGACGAGATACATGCCTTCCCTTCTCTGTCCTCCTTGGCATTGCACCAATCGGAGCCATTGGAAGGCATGAGTATGATCCTTTGGCACAGGGAACTTCTGGTGTGTGTGTATAGTTTCTCTATTGGCCAGTTTGGTGTAGTGGTTAAGTGTGCAGACTCTAATCTGGGAGAACCAGGTTTGATTCCCCACTCCTCCACTTGCACCTGCTGATGTGACCTTGGGTCAGTCACAAGCTCTGGCACAGCTGTCCTTGGAAAAGAGCAGTTTGTGTCAGAGTTCTTTCAGCCTCACCCACCTCACAGGGTGTCTGTTGTGGGGAGGGGAAGGGAAAGGAGTTTGTAAGCCGCTCTGAGACTCCCAAGTGAAGGGCGGGGTATAAATCCAATCTCTTCTTCTTCTCTTCTTTAAATGGGGTTGTTACTAACAGAGGTCAATTCGGGGGGGATCGCAGTTCCCCCGGGTGAGGTGCGGGGGGCGGGGCACATGACGAAGCCCCGCCCCCTGCTTCCGGCCACCCCACTTCCGGCCCTCATTCAGCCAGGAGGAGGCAGGAGAAGAGGGAGGGTAAGTTGCTTCCTCCCCGCCTCTCCCCACTCCTGCCTGCCTGGGGCCAGGGAGGGCCTTGGCGGGGCTTCCTCGCACTCCCGCCGGCCTTGCAGGTCCACCGCCGGGCCCCTGATGTCAGGGGGTGTGGCATATGCTAATGAGTTATGCTAATGGGTTCTCCTCGCTCTTTTTCTACGAAACGATCCCTGTTTACTAATAAATGTAGAATGAGTTGGAGAAAAATAAACATTGTTATATAATGCTACCTGTTTGTGGTGTTTTATAAACAAAGAAGTACATAAACCTAATCTATAAACGTTCATTGATTTTGTGTGTATGTGTGTATTTTTCAGCAGAGCCAAGCTGTGGATCCAGAGCCATTTTCAAGCCAGGAATCAAACATCATCCTAGAACAAAAGGCACCTGTCTTCACACAGCAGTATGCCTCTCAGGCTCAAATGGCCCAGGGCAACTACACACCAATGCAGGACCCAAACTTCCATCCAATGGCCCAGCGACCAGGTTATGCTGCACTACGTATGCAACCTAGACCAGGTCTGAGGCCTGCTGGCATAGTACAGAACCCACCAAATCAGCTGAGGCTACAACTGCAGCATAGACTTCAAGCACAGCAGGTATTTCATACTTCTATGTTTTCTGTCACTGCTTTGGCCATCATTCAACTTTACATAAATACAGTGGGTATAAATGGCTCTCCAGATACTTGGTTTTACATATGAAATAGTGCTTGTGAGGCTGACTGTTTCCTGACTCTACATATTCAGTTTCATGTCAGATATCTAGGTGAGCTTCACTTGTTTAGAGCTGTAAGTGGTCTTCCAGTCTCCATTTTGGCCTTGCAGGCTGCAATCACACTCTGCTTACTTTTTTTCCAAGTTCCTAGGCATGAGGGTTGCCACCTTCTAGAAAGGCAGGGAAATGGAAATTGGTAAGGGAAAGTCAGAAAATTACACATTTAGGAATCCAGAAAGCTCCAGCCCTGGAATGTCCCTACTTGCCAGACAAACAAATCTACTATGTCTTGGTGACAGGCAAGAGTGCTTCTGTGAAAGCCTACATGTGGAGCTACGTTTTGAAGATGGCTTCTAAGAGGACAATTTTTTAACAGATGGCTAGATATCAAACTTCATGCTAACTTCATTCTGTGGCTATCACCAGGTTATTGTAAAGTGTGCTACAAAACGTTTGAACTATTTAATGTGGCAGTTGGAGGTGTGCAGTCTCATGCACAAGGACCATTACATCAGAAGAACCTGAAAATTAAATTGAGTCAGTAGTCCATTGCAATATGTTTTGGTTCAAAGCCAAGTACAAGTTCAGTTAGTAGAAGCACAGAGGAGGAAGAGAGAAAACACTGGGGGGGAAACATGTTAAGGATGGAAAGAACTACCTTTCTCACAAACCATTATGGCAGAGTGCTTGTGGGTTTTGCCACAGTGATGAAGAAGGTGTCATTTAGCTCTTGCAAATAACATCAATGAGTTATTCAAACAAATGTTCTCGGAGATCCAGATACCCAAACAATTTCATCTTGGATAAACAAAATAAATGTATATGGCACCATACCTTTCTGACCTTCAACTAAAGTATCTAAAGCAGTGCTGAATATTTGTTACCTGTTTTGATGAAGCTTTAAATTCTGTGATTCAAAACAGTCAGATGGATTTAGTGGTTCGTTTTTGAAATGAACCCTGTTATAAGGTTTCCATACAGTACCTGACCAGTGTTTTTCTTCAGGCTGTTACTGCTGATGACATTCTTCACATGTTTCAAGACAGCGTGTGTTTCCTTACCGCTGCAAGTGTCTGTTTTCCTGATTGGAAAAGAGAAAAAAAATAATTGATCAACCTTGGAACATATAGCCTTCATGTTGTACGTGGGTCTTTTAAAACTGTAATGCCCTCTACATGGGGCTGCCCTTGTCCCAAATCCAGAAGCTGCAGCTGGTGCAAAATGCTGCGGCAAGGCTGTTGATGGGCCTCTCCATGCGGGAGCACATCCAGCCTGTGCTGAAAGCATTGCACTGGCTGCCAGTAGCATCCCGGATTCGCTTCAAGGTGCTGTTTTTGACCTTTAAAGCTCTTTATGGTCAGGGTCCGGCATACCTGAGGAACCACCTTTACCCATACTTTCCCCAGAGAGCACTGCATTCAGGGGCCCAAAACCAGCTGGCCCTCCCAGGCCCCAAAGATGTCAGGCTGGCGATAACCAGGGCCACAGCCTTCTTGGTGGTGGCTCCATACTGGTGGAATGAGCTCCCAGAGAAGATCAGGACCTGCAGGACCTTTTACAGCTCCGCAGGGCCTGCAAGACAGAGCTCTTCCACCAGGCTTTCAATTAGGAGCCACCTTAAATACCAAGGAGTGACCCTGTGCCCTAACTTTACCATCTTTAGCCTGTCTGCATAAATTAGTCGATCAAATTGAGCTGATGTGAGAATATCATCAGGACTATCACCTAAGCAGTGGTATGGTTTAATCAAGAAATCTCTGGTCTTGCATTTTAATTGAGTAATTGTTTCTGGCACTTTAGGAAAATGGATAATTGACTGGTTGTTTATGTATGTTTTTAACTGTATTTATATATGCATTTTTATGTAAGCCGCCCTGAGCCTGCCTTGGCGGAGAGGGCGGGCTATAAATCAAATAAATAATAAAACAGGATTGTATGCAGTGAACTGGGACCTGAATTCAGTCTTGTGCAATATGTGTTATCTGTGCAAACATTTTCCAGCTAGGCAAGCATCATACACTGCTATGACTGGAAGTACATAATGTCCCCAGAGGTTTTGCCCCACTAGGTGTTTTGAGAACATTGCACTATTTGACAACACTGAAAAGTATGTGGAAGAAGTATAACTCCAATCAGTAAACTTGCAAATTGCATAAAAGCTGCTATTCATGATCCACTCATGAATTGCAAAATGGCTTTCATGAAACAGTTGCTGGAGATTGTGGGATATTTCTACAAATGTTTCAAAACCATTCACTCTTTTTTTTTATGAAGCGTTTCATGAGCTAATCAAGAAGCCATTGCATAAAATCAGAAAAGCTGCAAAAATTGTCATGTGGTTCCCAATTGTTAACAATTGACATGAAATTGTCTGAAAACTTGCTCAACAGAAGCAAGGATGAAATCAGCTTTTCAGAAAAGAAGCTCTTAAAAGAAACAAACTAAGGCCCTGGTCACACGGGCCAGATAACGCGGGGGGGAGGCGTGGCTGTTCACCCTGGAGCAAAATAAAGCACGGGAGCCCGATCACACATTCCCCTGAGTCTCTGCACTTAGGCTGTTAGCTGGCAATCACACGGCGATGCTGGAGCGTGGCAAAGAAGCGACGCGGCCAGTGTTTCGCGTTTGTGCACATGTGCAGTTCCACGGAGCAGCACTGCTTTCAGTTATGCGTTTGTGCGCGTGCGCTTATGAAAAACATCCAGTTTGCGACGGGATGTGGACGGGCACCGGATGCCACGGGATACTAGCGCTCCCGCGATCAGACACCCACCCCTGCCCCGTGTTTTCCGGATACTAGTGCACTTTCCGTGGTACTTTTTTACTGCGCATCTTCGGTGGGATGCCACAGGTTGGCTACGCTTCCCAGATGTTGCTGTGTGATCGCGCCCCAAAAATCCGCCTGACATTCCTGCCTTTATGTCCTTCGTGTAACAGGGCCCTAAGTGAACATCAGGTGGCCAAGTTTTACCTAGAATATTGAGATATGTTAGTAGCAGTTGAAAAGTTGGTTGAGAGAGGTCCTTTGAAGTTCAAGATGGTTCATGACTTATCAGCATTAGATCCTATTATAATTATACATAAGCCAAATATTGGAATCACTGTAATACAAGAAGTAGAGATTTAATTTATATTACGCCCTTCACTCGGAGTCTCAGAGCGGCTTACAAATTCCTTTCCCTTCCCCTCCCCACAACAGACACCCTGTGAGGTAGGTGGGCCTGAGAGAGCTCTTTCGAGAACTGCTCTTTCAAGAACGGCTCTGACAGAACTATGGCTTGCCCAAGTTCATCCAGCAGCTGCAAGTGGAGGAGTGGGGAATCAAACCCAGTTCTTCCAGATTAGAGTCCACACACTTAACCACTACACCAAACTGCAACTGTACTAGAAGTTCTAAATGCAGGGACTGTAGTAGAACTTCTACATGCAGCAAATTGAATCAGTGGTACAACTACTGAAAAATCAAAGTAAGAATACACTGCTTCAACTGCAGCTGCCCACAATTTATTTTATTTTATTTATTTATTTGTTGGGATTTTTACCCCGCCCTCCCCGCAAAGCGGGCTCAGGGAAGCTTACAAGGGGCAAAGCCCGTATAAAACAGGATAAAAGCAATAAAAATATTAGTAACAATTAGTCACAACAACAATAATATTCAATTGAAAGCAGGATGGTCCCCGAAAATCTACAATGATGGTAAAACAGTTCTCTGGGGATGATGTTGTCCTATAGCTGATCCCAAGCAAATAAGTTCGATAATATCGATCGCGCAAAATTGTGGCAGATCTTCCCGGGCCATCCTTAACCCCGATGTTGTCCATATCATTGGTGGTGGTGGTAGTGGCGGCCTCTATGTAAAAGCCTGGCGGAAGTGCTCCATTATGCAGGCCCTGCGGAACTGCATAAGATCCCGCAGGGCCCTGATCTCCTCTGGGAGCTCATTCCACCAAGTAGGGGCCGCCACCAAAAAGGACCTGGCCCTAGTCGCGGCGAGCCTTGCCTCCCGGGGGCCTGGAACCACCAGGCGATGTTGCGCCCCGGACCGAAGTGCTCTTGGGGGTATATGTGGGGAAAGTGTATTTTGATGGCCAGCAAGAATTTCTCAGACCTGTCAAACGTTGTCAAAATGTGCCTTATCTTGTCTCATGGCAATGCTGAAAGTGGATTTTCAGTTAATAATTTGATGTTAATAGAGAACTTGTATGAAGAAATTGTTGTTTGTCAAGACTGTCCTGAGTTCTGGAGCACTCGAATCTTGTAATGGATAGGAGCATGTTGCAATCAGTGAGGCATGCTCCCACAGGATGCACAGAGTGCTTGGAGGTTAAATGCCATAAGCAACAAGAAGAAACTTGAGGGAGAAATTAAACACCTTGAAAATGCAAAAAAAGCCCCAACACTGAGAAAAGAAGCCAAAATAGAAGAAACAAATTGATCAGAATCTCAGCAAGCTGCAAAACAAAATGAGAAAATTATAGAAGTGATAGCCGTGTATCTTTATTTAATCATGTTTGAAGAATACTTTATTTAAAACCCAGTTTTTATTGCAAATTCAAAATGATCTTATAATTCATCTTCAGTAAAGCCACTTAAAAAAACATTCACTGAAATATCTTTGAGCATAGTTTTAAAACAACAACAATTGTCATTGGTTAATGTTTAGAGATTACTTGTATTGAAATTTCCATCTTGGAATAATTTTTCATGCAATTTCAAACAGATGTATTTCTTCAGTAAACATCATTTAAAGAAGCTTGACAGATATCTGTCAAGATCTTGCAGATATTTCTGTATTTCAGTACTTGGGTAGTTTCAAACCATTTAATAAAACCTTTATGTAACATAACCGATACAAAAATAAGGTTGGAATTATTTTTGCATGGTGTTCAGGAAACTCAACAAAACTTGGTAAAGGAAAGTCAGGGAACTGTAAAATAATTTTTTTGTAGCAACAATGAGTATTTTCAAGCATTGTTCAACATCTCTGCATTCTGGTCAGATAGCAAATAGGAAAAAGTGAGTGCTTTTTAAAAGACTAGCAAAAACAAAAGAAACTTACAAAGGAGATTTTTGTAGATGTCACTGAAACAATTGTCTTCAGTAAACATTTGTGTTTGCCATTGGGTGCCTGCATTGAAGCTACTTCCTGCTTTCTGTTTCTTTGTTTCTATTTATAGCCTGCCCTCTCCTGTACAACAGGGCTCAGAGCAGGTTACAGCATTCTTAAAAACATTGTTACAGCCAGGGCTCTAGTCGGGGGGGAGCTCTCAGGTACGGAGCTCCGGAAGAGAACCTCTAGGGGGCGGGGCAGTCACGTGGTGAAGCCCCGCCCCCTTCTTTACCCCGCCCTCTGCTTCGATCCTCATTCCGTTTGGGAATGAGGATGAAGCAGGAGGGTAAGTAGCCGGGCCTTCTGACACACTTCCGGTGATGTCAGGGGGTGTGGCCTTCTGTCACTTCCGGTGATGTCAGGGGGTGTGGCATATGCAAATAAGTTATGCTAATGAGTTATGCTAATGAGCTCCGGCAGCTCTTTTTCTACAACAAGACCCCTGGTTACAGCATTCTTAAAAACATTCCATACAATTAAAACATTAACTTATTTTATAATGCAATAAATACAATAAAATAACAATAACCAAATCATGGCATAAGAATATCCCAGGAAGGAGATGAATATCCTAAAGTTTGCCTAATACGCAAAAGGGAGGAGGGGAAAGAGGGGAGGAGGAATGGAGGCCAATCTAAGATGGAAGAACCATTCCTGCCCTCAGCCATAGGCCTGGCGGAACAACTCTGCTTTACAGGCTTTGCGGAACTGCTTTAGATCCCATAGGTCCCAGATCTCACCCAGCAGAGTGTTTCACCGGGCCGGAACTAGGGCCAAGAAAGCCCTGGTTCTGGTCGAGGACAGCCAGATACTCTTTGGGGCAGAGATCATCGGTAGGTTGTTATTACTGGAGCATAATGTTCTTTGGGGGGATGTACCAGAAGTACATATTCATTCAGTATTCATTCAGGCTGAGTTCATACTCCCACTGAGCAAAATACTCACAGTTCATCTGTACAGGGAACAGTTAAGGTGGCCATGCACAAAAGTGACAGCTGCAGGGATTGAATTCCCTATAATTTTTGATACTATCTTTATCAAAGGAATCTACACAGGTAACCCTTATAAGCCTACTCAACAACACTGATTATTGCAGTAACCAGCAGTCATATGGAAAATCCAGCCAAGCTGTCATGGCACATTTATAGATTATACATGTAATTATCAGAAGATAATTCCCATAGGTATAGTATATAAAGGCATTTTTCAGTGTTGTGAATTCCAGTGCTTTATGCCATTGTATGGAGTAGGTTTATGAAGGAATTCCACTATCCCTTGAAAGATATTATCAGATTGCAAATAACAGTCCTTGCAGCTCTCTTTCCTTATGTGTGTTTTATATTATTCCTTATGAGTATTTTATTATGCTTTATCCCCTTTTTTCACTAGAACAATAAGTAGAGTTCTTTTCCGAATAATTAAATTCATACAAGCACAGCCATACACATTGAGAGGGGAATTATGGCAGCTATTGCAAAGGAGAAAACTTTCTCCTTGGCAAATAAGCACAAAAATGGGAAGGGGAAATTAAGCATAGTTGTCTGAACATGTATGTGAGTACCCTCTTGCTGTGTTAATGTGATCCTTTGTTATACGTGTGTGTATATAATTTGATTGCATTTCCTTTACTGTGTAGTCATCTGAAATTGTTTAACATTTCTACTAACAGGTCTTTCCCATGTGCCTTGTACCACTATCTGCACACAGGAGGTGGTCCAAGGGAAAACAGGGTCAGTGGCAAGAAGACATTGCATTTTTAGTTACATGCAAGGTAGAGGGAAAGAAGTTGTTAGGCTTGTCTTGGCCTCATATTTGGCTGCTAGTCCAGTTCTTTCTGATGTGAATTCTGGGTCAGAGGGAGACTTTCAGATCCCACATTTTTAGCAGATTGACTATGACAGCAATTAAGATTTGTATTTTATGCATAATTGTCCACTTCAAATATGTGATGTTATCCTGTCACATTCTTAACACTGAAAAGTACAACCAGTCCTTACAATTAAAAGAAGCACAACTTTCTTATGGCGCACATGTACAAATTATTCCTGTCATTTCTTATGCTTATCGTTTCCCACGTAGAATCGTCAGCCACTGATAAATCAGATCAGCAATGTTCCCAATATGAACATGCCTCTGAGACCTGGAGTACCAACACAGGTGAGGGAACAGGTATTGAAGATTTTATATTTCATTATCCTAGTGTTCTAAAGGTTTTTATTAAGTTGCACCAGCCCTACAATTGGATTGTGATCTCTACTACTACACCCCTGTGTTCTGACACTGTTAATTCCGCTTCTTCCTCTTTAGCCATGTATAGGAATGCTGTAGTAATTTGGCTATATGCTGAGCAGAAAGTTAGACAACAGGTTTCACCAGAAGGTGCGGGTTCATGTACCTGACCCATTTTTCAACGCAGCCTTTTGTGAGTGTTCTTTGTGTCATAAGAACATAAGAGATGCCAATGTTGGATCAGGCCAAAGGCCCATCCAGTCCAACACTCTGTGTCACACAGTGGCCAGAAATACCAGTGCCATCAGGAGGTCCAGCAGTGGGGCCAGGACATTAGAAGCCCTCCCACTGTTGACCCCCCCCCCAAGCACCAAGAAGACAGAGCATCACTTGCCCCAGAGCCCCTAGCTATACCTTGTGGCTAATAGCCACTGATGGACCTCTGCTCCATATGCTTATCTAATTCCCTTTTGAAGCCGTCCATGCTTGTAGCCGCCACCACTTCCTGTGGCAGTGAATTCCATGTGTTAATCACTCTTTGGGTGAAGAAGTACTTCCTTTTATCCGTTCTAACCCGACCGCTCAGCAATTTCATGGCGTGCCCACGAGTTCTTGTATTGTGAGAAAGGGAGAAAAGTACCTCTTTCTCTACCTGCTCTTTCCCATGCATAATCTTATAAATCTCAATCATGTCACCCCTCAGTCGTCGTTTCTCCAAGCTAAAGAGCCCTAAGCGCCTTAACCTTTCCTCATAGGGAAAGTGTTCCAACCCTTTTATCATTCGAGTTGCCCTTTTCTGCACTTTTTCCAAAGCTATAATATCCTTTTTAAGGTGTGGTGACCAGAATTGCACACAGTATTCCAGATGAGGTCGCACCATTGATTTATATAGGGGCATTATGATATTGGCTGATCTGTTTACAATACCCTTCCTAATAATCCCCAGCATAGCATTGGCCTTCTTTATTGCAGTCACACACTGTCTCGACATTTTCAGTGTCAGTACATTGCTTAGATGAGCAGTGTTTCCTAAGCAGACCACATTCAAACAGTACACATCATACAATGAAAGCTGTTAGTCTGTATTCTTCAAGATAAATTGAATAATGTACGTCAGGATTATACTTTTCAGTATGGGAGCAATATGTTCCCAAGGAGCCAGTTTTAATATTAGCAGTATAACAAATTGCTGAAAACCAAGTCCAACAATTTTATAACTCCCTTTTAAAGTTTTCACTTGCTTGAGAAAATTAATCTAATGTAAATCAGAGTGGTATAGCTTTGTCTGGGATTTCAAACTTCCTTTCCCAGAGTATGAGACAGAGCTCCAAATGTCAGAAATTTTTAATGAGTAAACTCGAACCAAGTGTCTGGTCTAGGGGTTTTTTTGCTTGCATTTCAATGGATCGGGAGGGTGTGGTACTTGAGGAGATGAGTCCAGAAATTTGGAGCAACTGTCACGAATGGACACAGCTGTGAATTCCGGACCAGTAGGTTTCAGGTGCAGATTGAACAGGCATAATCGTAGACTTTGGTGTGTGAAGTATCACTTGTGAATAATTGTAACTTGCAAGGAAAGTTTTAAAATCAATTAGTATTCTAATCAATGTAGCTTATTTGTACAGTGCACAGTTTGGGGAAGAACAAAATGTGATTTAGGCATCACTCAGGAAAAATTGTCTTATTCTAAGAATTTGATTCAGTTACCCCTGATAACATTTCTGGTTTGGAATGTCATACCTCAGATCATAATATTACTTAGTCAATGTCTGGAAAGTCCTTGTTAATCATGCTTTGATACATTTTTTCTTTCTTTCAGGGACCTATCAATGCACAGATGCTGGCCCAGAGGCAGAGGGAGATATTGAGTCAGCATCTACGGCACAGACAGATGCAGCAGCAAGTACAGCAGCGAACCCTGATGATGCGAGGACAGAGCATGAATATGACACCAAGTATGGTGGCTTCTGGTGGCATACCAGCAACAATGAGCAACCCACGGATTCCCCAGGCAAACCCCCAGCAGTTTCCCTTTCCTCCAAACTACGGTATTGGTCTTACAATTTAAGCACCACCCTTTATTTCCTGACATCCTCCATTTCTGAATTACTACTCTTTTCTGACAGATCCTTGAATGACTTCCAGATAACTGGCCATGGTGAACATTCTAAGGGTTAGGGGCTCCTTGAGCTTGTCGGGATTATCAAATGCATGAGGAAAATGACCAAATTATAGTTCTATTAAGTGCAAAGTAACAAACTTATTTTATTGTGGCCTTTCTTCACTGAAAGCAATTGTAGGAAATCTTTAATATACAAACTTATTTCAGTGTAATAGGAACAACCAGATGCTTACTTAGCTTAAAACGTACTGCAGTCATCTGACAGGCCTGAAAATAAACAGTGTATTGGTTCCACTGTTAAAATTAAACTTCCTCATTTTCTCAGTCTTTTTCTCACTGGTCAGCTAAAATTAGAAATGTATTTCCTTAATTATTATATTTGAAGGGTTTTTTGGTCATGTTGTCAGGTCCTCATTTTAAACAAAACCGTGTGTGTGAGAGGGCTTATTTGGACATGATCATTGGGTTCTATTGAAGGTGGGGTACCTTAAAAAGTACAATCTCTCCCACAAGTAAGATCCGTCCCAGAAGGCCACGGAGCTCCCATTTCAGCAGTCTTCCTAATGGCAGCCCCTTTTTATTCAGCATAGAAGTCTATGGACACTATTATATTGCCGGGGGAGGGGGGGGATAAACAGTGTGCGTGTGTCAGCATGATTAAAACACCTGTTCAATCCTGTAGGAATAAATCAGCAGCCTGATCCTGGCTTCACTGGAGCCACCACTCCCCAGAGTCCTCTGATGTCCCCAAGAATGGCCCATACCCAGAGTCCCATGATACAGCAGTCTCAGGCCAATCCTGCCTACCAGTCCTCTACTGAGATGAATGGATGGGCACAAGGAAATATGAGTGGAAACAGGTACGATATGGGATAGAGGTACATCTGTTTGACTCACAGCATGTCAGTTTCAGCTGTTGTCACTTAACTCATCTTTATACTCATTCAACAATCGTCCTGTGACTGTTTTCTGTGATGGGTAAGGAATAGTTGTGATGTATGAACCTGGCTATTCACATAATAGAACAGCTTCTGCAGCCTGATAACACAATCACGGTTGGAATCACCAAGGACAGGAAGAACAATTTCAAGAAGACCTGAGTGTAAAGTAGATGGATTTCCTATGGATTGTACCTACTGTCCTGGATCTTGTATTTTAATTATTCTTCCATTACTTATTAGCTATAGGGAAAGTCTCATCACAAGACAAGAAATCCCTTTAGTGGTTCTGCAACTCCCATGTAGTGAACCAGAAACAACTGTCAAAAAAGAGAGGACTATTAAATTTTCTTTTGCCCATGATTGTATCTATTAAATCATGAGGAAATGGTTTTGAAATGAGTGCATAGCCACAGGAACATCTATATATCTAAGTTCCAACATGGCCCCCTGCGTGCGGATACTTATTTCCGCACATCGGAGGCACCTGGGGGGGAGGGAGATTTTCGTGCACACTTGGGGCAGTAGTCCCCAGGTGTGCACAAAAATCTGTAAACTCCCCAAAAATATTGGGGGGATACTTAAATCCCCCCAAAAGTGACAGAGCATCCCCTGCGCATGCGCAGGGAACACTCTACGAACTCCCTCGCCGCCGCCGCTGCTTCGGAGCCGGGGGGGAAGAGAGCTGCGAGGCTCGAGCGGCTTGCAGCCGCCGGGTCTCGCTTCAGAGCCGGGGGGGAGGGAGAGAAACGAGGTCCGAACGGCTTGCATCCGCCGGGCTTCACTTTGGAGCTTCAGCTTGACTTCAAGCAGAAAAAGTGTTGGTGGTTTTGTTTTGTTTTGGGTGGGGGGTTGTTCCAAACTGTACTTTTTACAGAAGTGCTACATCTGTGCAGCAAGCAGCTGACTCCTGCAAACTGTGCCTCCCAAATGTCATATTTGCAAGCCTAATCCTGTTAGTTAAAGAAGCAAAGAAAGGGATATGTGCTTTTGTACTGCTATCAGGCTCTAGATGCTGAAAATGTTCCCACACTTGCATTGATGGATATAACCGCTGATCCTTTGATGTTTTCAGTAATACTCTAGATCAAAGTACCTCTAACTTGATTTGTTTTGATTCTGACATGGCGATGTGTATTTTATCCTGTAGCATGTTTTCACAACAATCTCCACCACACTTTGGGCAGCAAGCAAACACCAGCATGTACAATAACAACATGAACATCAATGTATCCATGGTGACCAACACAAGTGGTATGAACAACATGAACCAGATGACAGGGCAGATCAGCATGACCTCAGCAACCTCTGTGCCTACATCAGGGTTGTCCTCCATGGGTCCTGAGCAGGTGAGAATGATCAGATGAGGGGTCTGGACTAGCATAACTGCTTTTAAACTTTTTTTATTAAGTTCTTATTCTAATGCTGTGTTAATCCTACTTGGTGGTTTTGAGAAGGCAAGTAAGGACTTCCGATTAGGTGTTTGGATGAAAGACTGTGAATCCTTGTCTGTTTAATGGTAACCCCCAAATATTAGCACGTCGGCACCATGGATCAATCAAGTTGGTCAGCACGTGTTTTTGGGTTGCCATCCCAGCAGTGTTGGCTAAGAGTGCAGCACAGCACACTTAAGAACTAAGCTGTGGAGCTTGTTTTTTTCTGATAGCATCTGTGTGTAGCTCAGGCTCACCTATGCTAGTCTTGAAGCTTTATTTACATAGTGTCAGGTTAAGGCTACAAAAAGACCTTGGGCAGTGCACATGAAAACAGGAACTGAAAACTAAGTATCCCGTCACTCTCATTCACTCAGAAGTAGTATATTTTCCGCAGTCTGCATGGTGGAGCATCCCCTTTGCTACTTGTAACATTTTGTTGGTGCAGTGCTTCCCCCTAGTGGTGTTGTACAATGATTGTGGGGTACAACAAAAGCAATTTTTCTATTTTTCACGTTTTAACAGCTTCCCTGAAGATCTCCTCTTTCAGTGTGACGCAAACTGAAAGTAGGACAGGTGGCACAAGGATCCCTGTCTGGAAAAGGCGCGGGGGGGGGGACCGTGATCGTGTGCAGGGTGCCCTAAGAGGCACTTATCCAGGCTGCTCTCTTTATTTGGCTACTTTCTTTATTAAAGCAAAAGGGTGTGGGCAAAAGTTTGTCTCAGTGGGTTTTCTTTTAAAAATAAAAATCCCTTCAGATTTCCTGACTAATTTCAAATTAAATTTAGGTTAATGATCCTGCTATGAGAGGAGGCAATCTTTTTCCAAACCAGCTACCTGGAATGGATATGATAAAGCAGGAGGGAGACGCATCACGGGTAAGGAAAACATCCACATTCCAACCATTATTTTTTTTTTACCTTTTAAAGACAAGAATGGATATAATATTCTGTTGTCTCAAGTAATGCTACTATCCCCAGGGGCTTTTTTTTAAAAAAAAGTGGTGGATAACGTCTTCTACCCAAGGCCAGAATGATACCCAGGGCCAGCTTGCTACAAGACAAGGCCAGAGAAAATGACAACAGAACACCACTGGTGGTTACCCACAGCTCACAACTCAAGCCAGTTCAATGCATTATTAATGACCTACCACCCATGCTGGATAGTGACACTTCCCTCATACAGGGGGGGGCGACATGTTCTTGCTTACAGACAGCCTGTTAACCTAAAACAACTTCTTGCCTGCAATGATAAACTACTTAGCAGTCACATGGACTCTGCTGCCAAGGCCTGCAACAAACCAAGAGGCCAAGTTTGCTCTCATATAGATCCTAGCAGCACCATCAGTGGACCCAGCAACATCAGCCATACTGTCTCAGGTTCATACTCCTGCTTATTCTCTAATGTGGTTTATGCCATCACGTGTCAACAATGCCCTTCCACCCTCTACACTGAACAAACAGGCCAGTCCCTTCGACAAATAATTAATGGACATAAGTCTGACATTAGGAACCACAACATTCAAAAACCAGTGGGGGAACATTTTAACCTTCCAGGACATTCAGTTGCTGACCTAAGAGTAGCAGTTCTCTTACAAAGGAATTTCAAAGAGAGAGAGACTGCTGAATTGCGACTGATAATGAACCTCAAGACAACACATTCATCTGGACTTAATCAAGACCTAGGTTTCCTGTCTCATTACCAATGCACGGACTCTAATCTGGGAGAACCGGGTTTGATTCCCCACTCCTCCACTTGCACCTGGCTGGATGACCTTGGGCAAGCCGTAGTTCTGATAAAAGCTGTTCTTGAAAAAGAGCTGTTTCTGTCAAGAGCTCTCTCAGCCCCACCTACCTCACAGGGTGTCTGTTGTGGGGAGGGGAAGGGAAAGGAGTTTGTAAACCGCTCTGAGACACCTTTGGGTAGTGAAGGGCAGGGTATAAATCCAATCTCCTCTTCTTTTCTTCTTCTTCTCTGTGTATCACATCTACTCCAACCACACCTGGTATTGTCATTTGCCTGCTAATGTCATTTGGCATCTGAAATCACTCCACTCTCCAAAATATAGGACAGATGGACTCACATTTTGTCTGTATCTGAAGAAGTGAGCAGTGACTCACGAAAGCTCATTCACTGCCACAAATTTTGTTAGTCTGTAAGGTGTTACTGGGCTCTTGCTCTTTTCTTCTTCTCCCCAAGATTGTCCTTGAAAACGGGACGCAAATATTTTTAGCTTGACAGTTGTATATGCCCAAATCCTGAATGTAACAGCAGGATAGATTACTGTGTGCAACATCATTCATTTACTCAGCTGGGTCATAGGTTGTGATTCTGTCTCTGTTCCTCAGCTGCATGTGTCTGTACCTGTGTTTTTATTGATTGGTTGATCTATGAAATGGTTTCTCCTCCTGCCTTTCCTTTTAAAAGTATCAAGAGTAGCTTAACTCGAAAGTTACCTTTTCTGGCCTAAAAAAGGATTGTTGATGTTTGCAGAACATACATGCATACTTAGTTCAGTATCTGTGCTGAGACCTCTTTCTCTTTTGTATTGCAGAAATATTGCTGACCCTGAAGATTGCTGATTTCTTCAACTGACTGGGCTGCCGGGCCCAAACTACTTAGTAGTTTGAAGAGCTGCATATTTTGGTTTTGCCCCAACTGTTCTGCCAGCCAGTTCTGCTGGAGAAAGTATAGTGCTGCAAACAGAACACCACTCTCAGTGGAGACGAAACAGTTGTTGGTGGAAGAGCAGCCTCCTCTTTGACAGTCTGAAGCTAGCGTACAGACAGTTGCTCAGTCTGTTCACTGCATTCACCTTAGTGCAACTTAGATCTCTCCTGCAAAGTAAATGTTGATAGCCAGTTTTCATAAACCATGTCAGATTGAATGTATTTAAATGTATGTATTTAAAGAAAAACAACCATGCTCTTGTTTCTGTTCTTTTTTATTTTAGATCCCTGGTATCTTCCTTTGTTTTCCTTAGCTACTCAGTCTGGTGCAAAGGATTCCATTCCATCTGGAAATTAGTAGTTTCATAATTTGTCCTCCACTTTGGTAGGGGAGGAGTGAGATAGGTGATGAGTTCAGCGATGGGTGGCAAACAAAGAGTGTAGACATCTGAGTAACTGGTATGGGGGGGAGATATCTAGTGAATAGATAAAACTAAGGTAGAAAATAAAACCAGTCAGTCTTGAATATGTTTAAATTTGTAAAGGGGCTAAAATATCCTCTGAGAGGGCTGTCTTATATAGCATTTTGGTTACTTTTACTCAAATCATGAATCAAAATACAATTTCAGTTCCCATTTTAACTGATTTCGTCATAATAATTAAGTAAACATCACTTTCCTCCTGCTTTTCCTTGCCCTTATTCTGTTTGTATTTCTCATTGGATAGAGAAATGAATAACCCCATCATACCCCTAGGTCTGTTACCTGTGTTCTAGGTTGGTGGTAACTAACTGCTGAGTAACAACTTTAAATGAGGGGGCATCTACTGGTGATGGAAGTGGCAGGATTGAGGCATAATGTCAGATCTAAAGGCATCTGATTTAAGTGATAATTTTTTTGTTTTCCTGTATCCACAATGGAAAAGCAATGACTTAAGCTATGACAGACATCACTACAGAGTTAACCATCATGTTCTAATTATTTTTGAAGCAGTGTGGACTATGAGGAAGTTTTGTAAGGTACATAAAAAACAGTTTCTGTGTAAACAAGCAATAATTTAAGTTGAAAACTTTAGTGTTTTAATTGTATAATTTTGTGAGGTATACATGTTGTGGAGTTGATTTCCAAATGAGGTACTTCAGTATTAAATTAGATATCTTCATAGCTGTGTGTGTCTCCTGGGGGAAAAAAGTGTTTTGTAAAGGATCACAATGCCTTGATTAGACCTAATTTGTAGGCTTGAGACTCTTTCATTTTCTAAACCTTGCAATTCTGCTCATAGAAGTCATTTATCTAACTTATATTATATGCAGCCACTGTAGGAGCCAACTTTTTTGTATGTTTATATTCTTTCTTAATGAATCTTAGAGAAACTGCTATTCAGCAGGCCACTCTTAAAGTGGTTTTACTGTTGCCTGCTGTGGTTGTTATAAGCTGGCATCAGTTTCTAAGGACTTGAAATATCAGGAAACTGATTGTTTTCAACTTCCTGATTGTCTTTCCCACCACCATCCACAGTTTCTTGTCCCCACAATCCACACACTTTCGTACCTGAGCTCAAATTTTGGATGTTCTTTAAAATGCAATGCATTTTATAGTATCTTGATCATCAGTCATGTCTTTGGGAGTGGAAGGTTTGTTACCTTGGTCTCATTTGCTTGTGATGAAGGTTAAAATATACAAAGAATCTGACTTACATAGAATGCTGAAGATAATATATAGAAAACCTTTCTAACCATTTATTTCCTGTTGAGTGACCTCCTCTTACACAGGGAGAAATGCTCTTCTCAGCATTCACCACTTTGTCGGTTAAAGTTGAAACTAACTGTTCAGACAACTGAGCCATCTGGTGGAAATCTAAAGTAGATATCAGCCCTGTGCTCCATAACATTGAAAAAAAATACTTTTAAAAATGATGCCTGACAAACTTATGCAAGAAGTAACCTAAATTTAGAGGAATTAGAACTCTCTGCATTAGTTTAAATTAAAAATAGTTTACCTTTGAACTCCTTTAATTATTATTTCTCCAACATTTTGTAATTGACCCATTGGAAAAATAGTGAAATCTGTAACTTTGAAAGAGCATCTGGAATTTCCTTTGAGACTTCAATCCAGTTGAAAAATGAGAGTATTTGTATATATCACAAATTTCTTGGGTTCATACAAATGTCGTTTAATCTAAATTAACTAATTAAAGATAGCAAATTCAGGCATTTCTGGAGGCTAATGATATTAGAAACAAATAAAAAAGCTGCCAAATAAATTTCTTTTTATAATCAGTATTTCTTATTTAGTACACGGTATAGTTGTTAGACAAAATCACTGGGTTTTATGTTGTAGAAACATAATCAGTGTCTGTTCATATTACTTGAATGTGAAAGGCACACAGTAGGAAAGATACACACGACCAGCTCCCTGCCACAATGCTCCATTCAATCAAGTTCAGGTAAGGCGATAGCTTAAATCAAGAAATGTATCATTTTCAACAGGTAACAAGTTATTCAAAGTTTTAAAATATCAGCCCCCATCAGTCCTTTCTATCGGTCTATAGTAACTGAAAACAATGTTTTTGCCATTTATACAATGCGTTTTTAATCTGTGTTTTAAAATGGAGTTCATATGGGCTTAACACAGGAAAAGAGTGGTTCAGCTCTACTTGCAAAACCCAAAGATACACAATCAGTTTTGAAATGCAACTTAAGCCATTAATTGTTGGTGTGAATTTAAAGTTTTCTAGTATTTGTATGGTAGTATTGCTGCCTAAAAGCAAAAGCATTCTCTGCACAAAAGAAAAATTACTGTAGTGGCTTTGGTTTTTAATTAGAATTTTCTCCCTGGTGTTTCTTTGTAGACTAAAACAAAATCTTTTCAGTTTCTTACTACAGGTAAAGCTATGTGCAAGAACCTCAAAATGCTAAAATCTAGCATAATGCCTTAGATCTGTTTTTAAGTCTTGTATATTCCTACATAGCTGTCTGATGTATTATATTTGTATAGTGAATTGTGTACAATTTTGGAATAAGCGCATCATCACTTAGCTTTCAGTCGTTGAATAGAGATGATGGACACATTTCTTCAGACATTTGACTCTCATTTAATTTGTTTCCCTTTTTTGTCATTTGTGGGTTTTATTTGTACAGTTCCTCATGAAGTTGCATCTGAGATGTGTATGAGTGTGTGTATATGAAAAGATTATACGAGGGTAAAACTAAGCAATATATAAACTATGGTTCTTCAGGAGAAAGCTTACAGTGTTTTCAGGTTGTGATTTATTTTCAAAACTGAGTTGACTCTGAACATCACTTTGTTCACCTGCATTGATGTTTGTATTTCTAGTGTGAGCAGTTTATGCAAAGGTAGATATATTCAGAGAAATTTTAAATACATTTATGCAAGTTAATATTGCTTTGCTGATGCTATTTGCTTATTTGATGTTAAATAATGCTATTGTAAATAAAGAATTCTGTTATTGCATCATTTAATAAATTTTAATGCCTTCGGGTTTTACATGGCTTTGGACATTGCAACGTTTCCTCTGTGGAGCCTCTGTGTATATTCACTGCTGTGCTGAAAAGCCAAAGCACTTCAGCGGGCGGGGGGGGGTGGGCTCGTAAGGAGCTAGAAAGGAACTGGGAGGCTTGAATTCAGTCCCCAGCCTTCCTTACTGACCCTCGGTTTTGCCTCCTCCTCTCCCGAGCCGACAAGCTCAGTCATTCCAATAATGGGCTCTGGACTTCGATAGTTATTTGTGTTGTTTAAAATATTTTATACTGGTTCTCTGCTCCCCCATGAATTCTATTTAGCGTACATTAAACCCCTATACTTTAAAACCCTATAAATAATCCAACTAATTTGTAGACCACAGAATAAGCCATAGCTGTAAAACCGTCAAACCTTAAGACTAATATAACAGACTAATCTTTAAAAAACCATTCAAAAATAAACTAACCAACTCCAGATGCCTGGGTGAATACAAAAAGCTTTAGTCTGGTGCCAAAATACTATTGTGTTAGGAGTTAGGTGAAACATCAGAGGGAGAGAAACCCCTTTCTTTGTGATCACTGCCTCACCTAACAAGCATGCAACATCTTTTCATGATCTCAGCATTCGATTCAAATGGGAGTAGGTGGTCTCTCAGACACTCAGGTCCCCCGGCCATTAAGCACTTTATATGTAATACTATAAAGCAGGGATCCCCACCACGGTGCCTCTGGGCCACCATAGTGCCTGCTCACACCTTTCCTGGCACCTACCAAGTGTCTTTTTGAGAATGGGCAAGTCCAGGAGGGGCTTTTGCCCAGCTTGGCCATTGTTCCTTTGACAGCAGCTGCCACCAAAGCACAAGGATCTTCACTTCATGATTGAAGGTAAGCTGTGTGTATGCAAGGAAATGTTTTTAAATAGTGCTAATTTAAAAGGCATCTTTTAAAACAAAGCTGACAGAAGTGTTGAAGAGTTATTATTACAGGTTATGCATATATCTTCACTCCCAGATGTTTTGTGGTTGGCTCCAGTTTGGTGTAGAGCCAGTTTGGTGTAGTGGTTAGGAGTGCGGACTCTAATCTGGAAGAACCAGGTTTGATTCCCCATTCCTCCACATGCAGCTGCTGATGTGACGTTGGGTCAGTCACAAGTTCTCTCAAAACTCTCCTCTCACAAGCAGTTCTCGAAAGAGCTCTCTCTGCCCAACCTACCTCACAGGGTGTCTGTTGTGGGGAAGAGAAGGGAAAGGGATTGTAAGCCACTCTGAGACTTCTTCAGGTAGTGAAGGGCAGGGTATAAATCCAATCTCCTCTTCCACCTCCTGCAGTGGCCATTTTGTGATTGCAACCACCACTATGTGTTAGAATTCCAGAGATGCCTGCAAGCTCAAAAAGGTTAGGGACCCCTGGTCTAAATTGTACGGGAACCTAGTGCAGACTTTTAAAGACAGTTGTGATGTCCACATATCTGCTAGTAATCCAGTGCTTTGAACCAGTGGGAGCTTCCAAACTGGGTTCAAAAGTAGTCCCACACTGCAGTAATCTAACTAGGATATGGCCAACCCATTCTTCCCAAGAATGGGCTTCAACTGGTGAACCAGTATAAGTGGGTAAAACGTGATAACATGAAATCTACACATTCATCTGCAAAACTGGATCTAGATGTACTCTCAAGCTGCTAAATTTGCTCCTTAAGTGCAGTCCCATCAAGAGTAGGCTAAAACCGAACATGTTCACCTCTATCACCAACCAACTGCACTTTTGTCTTGTCTAGACTGAACTTTCATTTCAATAGAAGTAGAACACCTGAGACTGCTTGGCGCTGAGTCAGGCAATTGGTCTGTCAAGGGAGCCACTGCCCAAGATCTGAGGTAGTGGTATTTCGCATAACCTATTTTCAGATCAACTTCATCTGGAATACCAGGGACCTTCTATATGCAGAGCAGATGTGCTAATACTGAGCCCAGGAGGCCACAAAACAGTGTGCTTATGCACCTGAAGCCTGTAAGCCAAATCTGGCCCCTGAACAATTAACAACCGCCCCCATCAGCCATTGTTGCCCTATCCAATCTTGCCTGTGTTCCCTTCTCATATTTATTTCTTGTGGCCTAAAGCAGAACAAAGCAAGGAGGACAAACCAATGGAGCACGTGCATGAATCTTCTCTGGACTATTCAGAAGTAGTGGCTTTCTTTTACTATACATATAGACATGCTTTTATAAATTTTTGCATTGCACCCTGAAGAAGAGCCCTATGAAACGTGTGACTACTTTGTAATATTTTTATTAGTCCCAAGAGATCCTGTCGATATTTTTGTTTTCTAATGGGCCAATGTAACTGCAAGCATTTTTATAAAGAGACCATTTCAATTTAAAGCATTATTTTCCTTTTTGATAGCAAAATCATGAGCTCCCCGGAGTTAATTTTTATGGCAATTTCACACTTGACAGAAGAAACTGATAAGTGATGTGACTGTTCATGCCCCATGTTGTAAAATGTCTGCAATTTTTAACAAGTGCTGGTCTGTTGAAATATTACAGGCAATGTGGGAAAAAACCCCATAAGGCAATGGACACGTCCTTGAAAATTAGTTGAATTCAATTTGTGTAATTTCCATTTAATAAGAAAAGTGGGGGTGGTTCATACTCTGTTCCAGCAGTCCTAGTTGAGCAGGCTCTCTTGCCGAGAAAAGGTCTTGGGCTGGGCCAGCAGCTTACTATTCAGAAATCTGTTTGTTCTTCTCTAATGATGTTTCTGACTGGCACCAGCCAGTCCCACAAGATTTGCTAAACACTTGTGTCACAGATACTGAGGTAACTACATTTCTATAAATATCCTCAAGTATAACCTACTGTTTAGCTCCCTCCTCCATTGTAATGAGGTTGTAGCCTGGACTGGCCAGGACTTCTGGGACTCTGGGTAAAGTTTACCCTTCTCCCCAATGCTCAGGTCCTGGACAGGACCGCTCACCCTCACCTTCCTTCCTGACCCATTCTCCTGTCTGCCATGCCTGAACCTCTTTCTCCCAATCCACCCCTCCATCTTGAAGGCAATAACTGCCCATCCCAGGACTTGTCAACTGCCATTGCTAGGCTCTAACGTAGAAATAGAATGGGTGGCTGACAGACTGCAGTGCTGATCTTCCTCTCAGCTGTGTTGGGGGGGGAGGCCCAGAGCCAGAGCCCAAATGTGCGGGGTGGGAGGCGACACAAGGTGCACTTGATTTAGGGTCCAGAAATCCAGTGGTGTGAGGAACCAGCTGCTGTAAGCACATTACCATGAGGGGGAAATTGAAACTAAATTTGATAATGCTTAAGAATATACTTATGCAAACATCTTTCACTCTATCAAATGCCAGCATCTAGATCTTGTGAGATTGCCTCTGTTCAAGCAAAAGTCCATTAGATCCTCTCCTAGAACAGAATCTAGGACTGGGTTGTTTGCTTTGAAATCTGCTCCTGTTCTCTTGCTAAAGACTATCATGATTCCAGAGACCTCTTTCTTGGTTTCAAGCTGGCTAGGTCAAGGTGCTAAAATGCCATAATTTCCATACATAGAATATTTCAGCGAATTCCAAGTTACTAAAATGGGAGGTGACCTCATCCTGTGTCATAGCCACAGTCCTTGGACTTTTGGAGTATATGGATCTACATCTCCAAGCATGGTCCAGAATAGGCATTATAAAAATTCTTATTTATCTGTATCTGTTTTTCTCCCCATGCCTTGAGTTTCTCCTCAAGCTTTATCTACGACTGCATCCCTACAAAGTTATGCTTGTTCGGTAAGATATAGTTTGGTGTTCCCTATGGCACATCTGATTCATTTTGGTTGTTTTAAATGTTATCAAATCAGCAGCAGCTGATGCCTCCAAAACACCTCGGACCCATATTTGGATCATTATACTGCCTAAAGATTACCCCAATCACATAAATAATTCCTATTAGACCATCATAGCCCTACTGGTACCATTCCCTCAGCTCTTGCATAGATTCTTTCTGCACAAAAATGACAAGATGTTACAAAAAGGTGGGGGAAAACTTCTGTACTATAGTGTGTAATGTCCTGTGTAGATTTACTTTTTTGAAACATTACTGGATCAAATCAGAAGCTCTTGAAATTAATTGCTCAGAGTACTATTGCTCTTGTGCTTGCTTGCAGGACTGTCATGTTCCTGGTTTGTTCAGTTATTCTGACTGGCAGTAGATTCAGGAAGTACTTTATCATATATCTATTCTGAACTTGGCTGCAGAGTGTGAATCAAAAAAATCTGCATAATGTGTGATATACAGAAAGGGACATTTGAAACCCACAAAGAAGATTCCCCTGCTCAATACCGATGGAACTGCAACAGTTTAAAATACTGTCGAGATGGTACCTGTCCCCCCAAAGAATCTCTCACATGAACTCAAAACACTCACCCTTATGTTGGAAGGAATGCCAACAGATTGGCACCTTCGCACATTGTTGGTGGCATTGTGAGAAGTTTCAGGGCTTCTGGAAAGAGATACAGAGGTTAGTTAAAAGCATTATAAAAATAGATATGCCAATCTGCCCAGCAGGGCTTTTTCTTGACTACTGGCCACCAAACATAGAAAAGCATAAATACAAAAAAACAATGGATATAATGATATATGCTGCCTAGGACCTCCATTGCTACGTGTTGGAAAGACAATCATCCACCCGGAACTCAAACCTGGTACCGAAAGTTATGGGATCAACTTTTGATGGAATGTGTCACCTGCAAACTAAAGAACTTCCTTAAGGCCAATTTCTACTAAACTCATGGGAAAATGGGAACCCATCCTAGATTTCCTTACCAGAGAAGAATTTGTACTCACCTCTTGGTCTCAGTA